GTTGCGATCCGTTGCCGGACACGGAAAAAGACAAAAGACAAAAAAAAAAAAAAAAAAATCTGGATGCCTTTTATTTCTTTTCTTGCCTAATTGCTGTGTCTAGAACCACTAGTACAAATTTTAATAGAAGTGGTTAGAGTGTACATTCTTGTCTTGTCTTGCCTTGATCTTAGAGGTCAGCTTTCAATCTTGCACCATTAAGTGTGATGTTAGCTGTGGGTTTCTCATAGATACCCTTTATTAGGTGAGCAAGGATCCTTCTATTCCTAGGTTGTAGATTTTTTTTTTAATCTTATAAGGGTGTTAGATTTTATTAAATGTTATTTCTGTGTCTTTTAAGATGATGTGTGGATTTTGTCCTTTATTCAGTTTATATAATGTATTCCATTGACTGTGCTTCATATGTTGAACCAACTTTGCATTCCTGGGATAAATCTCACCAGGTCATAGTGTATAATCCTTTTTATATGCTGCAGGATTTTATTTGCTAGTATTTTGTTGAGGATTTTTGCATCTATATTCATAATTTTCTTTTCTTATGATGACTTTGATTTTGGTATCATGGTAATACTGCTCTCATAAAATGAGTTGGGAAGTGTTCCCTTCTCTTCTATTTTTTGGAAGAGTTAGGGAAGGATTGATATTTCTTCCTCTTAAACAGTTAATAGAATTCGCCAGTGAAGCCATCTGGACCTGGGCTTCTCTTTATGGCAAGTTTTTATACTTAACTAATTCAGTCTCTACTTGTTATAGTTCTGTTCAGATTGTCTGTTTCCACGAGTCAGTTTAAGTAGTTTGTGTCTTTGTAGGAATTTGTCCATTTCATCTAGGTTATTTAAGTTGCTGGCATACAGTTTCCTTAGTATTTCCTCATAATCCTTTTCATTTCTTAAGGTCAATAGTAATAAACGTCCTTTAATTTCTGATTTTATTTGCATCTTCTCTCTTTTTTCTTAGTCTAGCTAACAGTTTGTCAATTTTGTTGATCTTTTCAAAAAGCCAACTTCTCATTTCATTGATTTTTCTCAATTGCTTTTCTGGTCTCCATTTTATTTATTTCCACTCTAATCCTTACTGTTTCCTTTCTTCTTGCTTTAGGTTTAGTATATTATTTTTTGTAGTTTCTTACAGTGGAATATTAGGTTATTGATTTGAGAACTTTTTAAAATATACACATTTACAGCTAAGTGGAGTATTAAAGTCTCCAACTATTATTGTTGAATTGTCTATTTATCCCTTTAATTTCTGTCAGTTTTTGCTTCATGTACTTTGGGGCCTTATCGTTAGGTACAGAATTATTTTAATTGTCATATCTTTTTGATAGATCAACTCTTTTATCATTATAAAAGGTCCTTCTGTAGTAACAATTTTTATCTTAAAACCTATTTTGTCTGATACGGTTCCCTTTGGATACTGTATGCATGGTATATCTTTCCATCTTTTTACTTTCAACCTGTTTGTGTCTTTGAATCAGAAGTCTGTCTGTTTTAGAATGCATACTTTATTGTTTCTTTGCATTTCTCATAATTTTTTTATTTTTTATTTTTTTAAATAGTATACTATGGTTACTCTGGAAGTCATATTCTTCCGCCATCCGCACCCCAGGGGCTTGGTATTTGTTGTAATTGTTGTTGTTTGTTTAGTGCTTTTTCTAAACTAATTCTGCAAAGTCTTTGTCATGTGTAGCCACCAGAGTCTCTGCTTGGTTACCTTACGGGTCAGATAGCGATTGGGTAGATACTTTCTTAAATTCCTAAAACCAGTAAGTGTCCCAGTCGTTGCTGAGGGGCTACTGTGTATTTGATAGGTCATGCCTTCAGTTCTCAACCAGGCAGTTAGCTGATAACTCAACTTTAGCTTTCATTTCCTTCTTGTGCAAAGCCTAAAGGTCAGCCAGAGTTGAGTATCTGGGGCCTTCTCAGGTCTTTCCTGAACATTCATGCAGCCATAGGCAAACACATGGATTCTAGATTCCCAGTAATATATCAGAGCTTTTCTAAGCCCCTATGGACATCTCATTCTCCAGCTTTTCCTTTTGTCAAAGGACAAAATTACAACAAATTTAATTATCTCATTTGGCTTTATTGCAATTCCAGAATTGGACACTTCATTCTATAAAATGGAATATGTGTTCCTATGAACTGAGCAAAAGAGGTTGGCTTCATAGATAGAAAAGGAGCTAAAAAAGCAGAAACAAAGAACAAAAAGTGGATTGGTCACTTGACAGTTACTTTCCTCATAAGTTGGGAACAGGGATACAGAACAATGGAAAAATAATTGGTTAACATCAAGTTACTTGTTTTGTTTAAGGATCAAAGCAAAGAGAACTTGAAGATTCAAACTGGCTTGTTTGGGTTTGGTGACGTGGAACTTAGCAGGGATGACTCCATTTTGATTTTTATTCTGGTCTGTTGGGGCCTAGTGCAGGAGCTTAGTCCAAAATAATGATCTCCTATAATTTTTATTTAATATTTTTAAGGTTTTTAGTAGGTTTTTTTTTCCCCCTACTGTATCCACCACCTCAGGTGGTTGCAAAGTTAATCAATGGCTTGTAATTGTTTTCAAATATGGCCTCAGGGAAAAATGCTTTTCCACACTGGTTGAGCTCTAAATCAGGTCAACTACAGACAGCCTTGCAAGAGACGTTCAAGGAACGGCCAGAAAGGTCCAATAACAGTTCTTTGGAAATGATGCTTTGAAAGAACCCCAGCCTCATTTTGATCATTCTGGTAAATGTGAGGCTATTGATATTCACCACAAATGCTGGCTGTTATTTTCCAAGGCTACATGGAGCTGGAGAGTGGGGAATAGGACTAACACAACTTACACGCCAAGGAGCTCACTGTTCTTACTGACCAACTGAACTAACCAGGCAGCCTCTTTTTTGGCAAGGAGGGCAGCTGGCCTGTATGGGGATCCAAACCCATGACCTAGGTATTATAAGGCTGCGCTCTAACCAACTGAGCTAACCATTCAGCCTCACTGTTCTTATTGAGATTCAGTCATTTTTCTAGAATAAACACTTCCCAGATTGCCATAAGCTTTTAACTTCTACAGTTCTGAAAATTTGGATTCTGGTAATTTATGCCCATTCTCTTATTTATTTTATGGAGGAGAGAATTTTTAGAGGTCCTTTCTCTGACATTTTTGGTGATGCTGCCTCACTTGAGATACTGCTACTTGAGATAAATCTCATTCAGACTGATCCAGTTACTTTTCTGTTTATAAAAACTTGCCTGTTAAATTACTCAAGCTATATTACAGGTTTTTGTGTAAAATATGTACTCTCGTGAAATTTATGCATATTTTACTCTTCATTCCTTCAGTAGTGTCTACTGTCTTCCAACACAGTAGGGAATGCAGATACAGAGATCAGAATCTTCATCCTATGGTTATTTTTTCTCTTCCCTTGATCAAAGTATTCCCAAATTGCAGTAAATTGCTCTTTATATTCAAAATATAACTCATTTGTTATCCATTTATTTATTTATTCAACTGCTATTTATTGATTTATGATGTGCAAGGCACTGTTCTAGGTGCTAGGGATACGAGGGAACAAGAAGACAAATTTTTGTTTTGTTTTGTTTTGGGGGGGCTGGCCGATTTGGGAATCCAAACCCTTGGCCTTGGTGTTATCAGCACCATGATCTAACCAACTGAGCAAACTGACCAGCCCCATGAAGACAAATTTTCTGACCAAACAGAGTTTATATTCTAAGGCAGAGATTGATAATAAGCAAGCAAACAGTAAATGTCATAATCAGAAGCAAGGATAAGTGATATGATGTTTTACAAATAAAGCAGATTAAGAGGACAGAGTGATAGGGATGCTCTTTTAAATAGGGTTTGCAAGGAAGGCCTTCTGAGAAGAAAACATTCCAGCAGAGACCCAAATAAAAGCAGGGTGAGGGGGCCGGCCCAGTGGCGCACTGGAGAGTGCGCCGCTTGGGAGCACGGCGGCGCTCCCGCCGAGGGTTCGGATCCCATGTGGAGACCGGTTCCTGCTCACTGGCTGAGCGAGGTGCGGGACCGACACCGAGGGTTGTGATCCCGTTACCGGTCAGTAAAAAAGACAAAAAGGAAAAAAAAAAAAAAAAAGCAGGGGGAGGAGACATGATCTATGTAAAGCTGGCTAAGGAGCTTTCCAGAAGAGGAAATAACCAGTGCAGAGCCCTGAGACTCATTTATTATATTTTATGTATAATGAAAGTATATAGCATAGTCTTTTAAAATCTTTTTCTAAAAAGCTATTTTCAAAAAAATTTTTGTGACTTTTAAGTTTGGTTCAGTTTGCTAACTGCTGAACCATTTCTTTAGCACTGGTATCTAAGTTATTTTTGTTTCTTTTACCTTTCAAGTTAAATATAGATTAATATCCCTATAAGTGTGATAAATATGGCTTAAAGATTTAATTCAAATTCATTGTGATTTTTCTTCAAATTATTGTTTACATAGATGTATATAAACTAAGTTATTTTGCAGTGTTGCAATTAGTTTGCATGTGTGCGTGTTTATCAACAAGGGTTTAGTGTTGATACAGTTCAGCTCACTTTTTTTTTATTATTTTTGTAAGATTACTTCCTTATCTTCCTCTCTTCCTTACTTTCTTTACCTTCCTTTCCTCCTCAACTCTCCCCCTCTCTTTTCCCTTCTTTCTGTTTCCTCTTTTACCCTCACTTCTCCCCTTTGCTCTTCCTTCCCACCCCTCTCATCCCATACCTTACCCCCATACCTTCCCCCCTCTTTCCTTCCCCTGCTTCTTTTCTCACCCTTTTTTCCCTCTTATACCTCCTTCGTTCCTTTCTTCTTTCCTCCTTTTACCCTCACTTCTCCCCTTTGCTCTTCCTTCCCACCCCTCTCATCCCATACCTTACCCCCATACCTTCCCCCCTCTTTCCTTCACCTGCTTCTTTTCTCACCCTTTTTTCCCTCTTATACCTCCTTCGTTCCTTTCTTCTTTCCTCTTCTCTCTTTACCCACCTTTTTTTTCTTCCAGACTGGCTTAATAAACAGTCTGATAGAAAGTGATAAAAGTAGGTTATGGTACAGCCATATAATCCAATATATTCAATATAATAAAATATTATTCAGTGATTACAAAAAGCATCCTTTTCATGCATTTAGTTATCCCCCTCATGTCCCTCATCTCCTTCTCCACATTCTGCTATTTGCTAAATCCTATCAAGATAATGTCTCAAATTCATCCTTTTCATTTCTCTTACCATCTTCCCAATTTCCCCTTAATGGGAACATTGAAATAGCTGCCTAATTGTTCTCTTACTCTGCTAGCCAGTAGGCTATTGCCATATATTATTTTTCCTAAAGCAAAATTCTCATCAGATTACTATCTGCTCAAAATCTTTCTGTGATTGGTTGCCCATTGCCTACTAACTTAATTCCATAGCCATCAATACCTTGCAGATTATGGCTCTAACCTGCTTCTTTCCTTCCACTGAGCTCCATTATACTCCTTCACCTCCACTGGAACTGCTCTAGAGTTCTGTAAACACATTCCTTGCTTTTAGCTTCCATGTCTTCTCCCACTATTTCCTTTGCCTTGAATGTTTAGCCTCCTATTCTGTCCTTTGGAAACCTACCATTCTTGAAGGTACAATTTAAATGCCACCTTTCCTTCTCCCTTATTATGATCAGTGAGTATCTCTTCTCCCCTTTACTTAGATTATAAATTCATTAAGATACTAGACTGTGTCTTCTTGGAATTCTCTGAATTTTTATCACAGTGCCTTGCTGTGGTAAATATTTGGTAAATTTAATTATTGAGCAATAAGCTCTCTTATTTACCAACATTTTTGTTTTCTTTTCTCTAGTTAAAGAAGAGTTTAAGAGTCCTAAAGCTGAGTGTCGGTCACAAAAAATGTCCAATAAACAGGTAATCTTTCTTAAAATCAAATTTCTAGTAGCCAGCTCTTTTATGTTGTTGGTGCCTCTGTGGCATCTTGTTGAATTTTGTAAACTTTCCAACCAAATATATAGTGCATGGTAATAGGGTTGCTGAAGTGTAGGCTAACAGTCACTTGGATGGGAGGTTGCACTGCTAGAGTCTAGGATGTAGAACTAGAGGCACCTGAAATCCTGATTCTACAATTTCCTAGTTGGGTGGCCTTGAGCAATTCACTTTACCTCTCACAGCCTCAATTTCTTAGTCTTTAAAATGGAGATAAAAATATTGATCACTTGTGGTATCTCTCAATATGTATAGTCTGTATAGACATGCATAGATCTATACATATATTTGTAAAATATATGGAAATATATAATTGTATGTACAATGAAGGTATATGGAACAACATAGCAAACTTAACAGGATAATTTCTGTGGAATTAGATTGGTTTGAGGAAAGCTGAGATCATTTATATTTTCTTTCATATAGTCTGCTACTTGATAAGGAGTATATATACATTTTATAATCAAAGAATAACAAAGTTTTGATCTAAAAAATTTGACATATGTTTGCAAAACATGCACTTTTCTGTATGCATATTGTATTTTAATATGCGTTTTTAAAAATTGGTATTTTATAAGCTAGTAAAATATTACATATATAGAAGATGTCTTAGCAGAATATTTCACATATAACAGGTTCACAGTAAATGGAATCCATTAATTTTTTTTTTTTTTTTCCTTTTGTGACCGGTAAGGAAATCGTAACCCTTGGCTTGGTGTCGGCCGCACCACGCTCAGCCGGTGAGCGCACCGCCCATCCCTATATAGGATCCGAACCCGCGGCCCCGGCACTATCAGTGCCGCACTCTCCTGAGTGAGCCAGGGACCAGCCCAGAAATCTATTAATATTTAGATGCCAGCAAATGGTTTAATTGCCTGACTTTTAAGGTCCTCTCCTTCTCAAACTCTTATGCTATAATTTCCTTTCTTCTAAAAAAGGGATTGAAAAACTTTTTGTGCAATAGGCCTTTTTGGTGAAGCCTACACGCTTTTAATAAAGCTATTATTATGTTTTCAGAATAATGTTTTTTGTTTTTTATTTGGTGGCTGACTGGCATGGGGATCCAAAGTCACAGGACTTTGGTGTTATAAGGCTGTACTCTCACCAACGAAGTTAACCGGCCAGCCCCCTCAGAATTTTGTTTTGAATGCTAAAATAAAATATATAAGATTTTTTTAAAAACCGGTTATACTGAAATACAATTAAAATCAGTGCTATTGTTTTCCTACTCGGTTTGGGCTGCTGTAACAAAAATACCATAGACCAGATGGCTTAAACATCAAACATTTATTTCTCTCATTTCTGGAAGCTAGTAATTCCAAGATCAAGGCAGTGTTAGACTAATAATGTTTTTAATGCTAAAATAAAATACGACTTTAAAGAATATCATTTATAGAATCTAGTGAGATGCTGGTATCTGTTGAGAGCTCTCTTCCTGGCTTGAAGATGGCCCATCATCTCTTATTCTAACATAGTGGAGAGAAAGAGCGCTGTTCTCTTTCTCTTCTTACACGTACACTAATCCCACCATGGGGGCTCCACCCTAATGACCTCGTCTAAACCTAATTACCTCCCAAAAGCTCACCTTCTAATACCAACCCATTAGGGGTTAGGGCTTCAGTGTAAGACTTTAGGGGGGATGCAAACATGCAGTCCATATCAGTGCTTTATTGCCTACATTCATAATTGAAGGAAATGCTAGTCTCATTTACTGGTAAATGAAGAAAAGTAATTTTTCTCCACCTCCAAGTTTAACAGGCCCGTTTTTCTTCATATTATGTAAAAGGGGAAAGTAAGGGCTGGCCGGTTAGCTCACTTGGTCACAGCGCAGTGTTATTACACCAAAGGCCAGCTGCCAAAAATAAAGGAAAATAGCACATAAAAAATTTTGCAGCAATTTATTTAGAACACCATACAGTAGTAACTATACATTTATTTGCACAAAAAGCTCATTTTTACTTTTTTATAGACTTTTGGAGGGCCTGCCAAATGTAATATTAAGAGAAATGAAAGTCCAGAAGTCTCAGAAACCCAAAAGGTTGTTACTGATTATCCAAATGCTATTGGTAAGGTAAAAGATCATTTATTCATTTCTCTTCCCAAACTTTAACACCTGGGAAGATGATTGAGTGAAAGTTGAATGACGCTTTTTGTATATAAAACTCTCAGCTATTTCTATATCCTTGTACTTTCATCTTCATGCACAAAATTTTTATTCTTTTAGCCTAACTCTGGAATTGAGAACTTTTTAGCATCCTTGAATATCTCCAAAGAAAATGAAGTATACTCATCTCGTCACAGAGAGCCTTCAAGTGAAGAGCACTTGTCACCACAGTCATTTGCTATGGTTCGTATTTTGTAGAAGATTTTATACTATGGTAGTTTCTCTACTGTTGGCCATGCATACATACCCCATGCAACACTTTTTCCTCATGTAGACTGGTGTGTTGCATCATTATTATCATCCTGTGAGGAAAATCAGGCTGCCCTGGGCAATTTAGCCATCCTTTGCTTTTTTCTCTTTAGACTGTAGCTCCCCTACTTTTCAAACATAGCTACTAGGTTACTGGGCCAAAAGTTAAGTAGAAGTATAAGTATTATTTCCATATCTGGAAGTGTGTGTGTGTGTGGGGGGGGGGGTGTTGTTTTTTTTTCAGCTCTTGACTGTTGATTTTTCTTACTCTCTATCTGAATGTTAATTTTTAACAATGGAACTCTTCAAAAGAAGGATCAGTAAGCTCTATAAATCTGTTAACTTTCTTTTCCCCACTCCCACCATCTCTGTATGAATTCTTTTTAAAAAAGAAGGGAACACGGATGCTTAAAGAAATTCTAAAAATTGATGGCTCTGACACTGTGGACCATAAGAATGAAATGAAACAGTTTGGTAATGAAGTCACTGTTTCCTCTAATAGAAGAAATGAATCTGGACTGTCCTCACAGCCTAAACAAAATAAGAAATTAAGTAAGTAAACTAAGTACTATTACTAGTAATGAATATCATTTCAAAAATTTTGTTTATTTCATTCTTTTTATCATGTGCTTTTAGAAGATAAAACTACTTTTATTTTTAAGAGTATAATTTTTATACTTGTTGTCAATTATGTAATAATATAACTATGTAACCAGTACATTGATAGTCCCTAAATATCTTCTTGTGATTACTTAATTTGTACTATTACAGATATTCTGTAGATACCAAAACCTTGAAAGGTTTTCACATTCTAGCTTGTTTTTCTCAGTAATTTAAAAATGATTATGTAACTTAAATATATAGTTAACTTTTCTAAAATTCTTATTTACTGTTTATAAAATGAGAATAATATGAGGAGTCTTCAAAAAGTTCATGGGAAGATTCATATTATCCTTTAATTCTATTTTTCCACAAACGTTTTGAAATACCCACATACATTTCAAATGACTGTTCTGATAATTATATAACATGTATAAGGCCAGTTAGCATTGTGTCTGACACATCGTATGTGCCAATAATTGATATTAGTATTATGTTACAATAATTTGCTCAATGTAAAAATAGAAAAATGTATAAACTTAATTAAAAATCATTGATGGAGGTAGGCCTTGGGAAGTGAGTAATTACCTTAAATCTGTGACACTTATAGCATAACATCTGGCACATAGCTAGATTTCAATAAATATCCACCATTTCCCTCTGTACCCCTATCCTTTAGTGTTTTGTCTATGTAATTATCTGCCAAAGCATACCAGGAAGAATGAATAATAAAAAGGTGGGTATGGACAGAGGTTTCTGAGAGAAGTAAAACATTTTGGAATAGGCAGATCTGAATTTATTAAGGATCAAAATCTGGAATAAAAGCAGAGCCTAGCTTTGTTTATACTCCAGTGAATATTGAAATTACTAATTAATTAAAAATTCCAAAAACTATTAGGAAACTAGTGAATTATTTAGCATAGTGACAGACATGCTCCTGAAGTAGAACAAAATAAAATTTTAAAACAAAATTGGATAAAGATGGTTCCATTGTCAACAAGTAAATTTTATTTATTTATTTATTTATTTATTTTAATTGAATCAAAAATGATTATACAGGGCCGGCCCGGTGGCGCACTCGGTAGAGTGCGGCGCTTGGGAGCGCGGCGGCTCTCCCACCGAGGGTTCGGATCCCATATAGAGACCAGTCCGCTCACTGGTTGAGCGCGGTGCGGGCGCGACACCAAGGGTTGCGATCCCGTTGCCGGTCGCAGTACGGGCGCAACACTGAGGGTTGCGATCCCGTTACCGGTCACGAAAAAAGACAAAAAGGAAAAAAAATGATTATACATATTTTTGGGGTTCAACATTGAGATATGTTGATCAAATCAATATTACTGGCATATATATTGTTACAAGTGGTAATTGTTCTTTATGCCCCTTGTCCAGTCTATCCCATCCCCCTCTCCATCCCCCCCTCCCCTCTCTAATTACCCTGGATTTCTTCTCTCCTTCTGAAAGAATAATGGTTACTCTGTTGATTTGTTGCCTAGATGATCTGTCCAATGCTGAGAGGTGTGATCAGGTCCCCCAAGATTATCATAGAGCAGATGCTTCTTCTGTCACTCTGAAATGGGCTTTGAGGAGAGAGACATCCTCTTTTCTTTACCTCAGCTGGTGACTCTCCTTGAGTCAATGCACTCCAGTGGTTGGTGGACCACCAGCATGGTGGCTGTGGCATCCAGCCACTTTCACGGCAGCCATGGTTATTGTGGTGGCTGTGGTGGGCCACCCACGTGGAGGTGATGTTTTGGGCATGCTCCTTGTCACTGGCAGTGTGCCTGGTTGTGGGGTGTGTCTGGTCCCCAGCTTCATGCCTCAAGTGGGCCCCAAGGTGCTGGCGTGGTGTCCCTGGTTGTTGAAAAGGGATCCTGTCCCCTTCTCCATGTCTCAGGTCCCCAGTGAGCCCCAAGATGCTGGCACGGTGTGCCTGGATGTGCACAGGGGTTCCAGTCCCCTGCTCCAAGCCTCCTGTTCCCAGGCAGGCCCCAAAGCACTGGTGGTGTGCCTGGGCCGGAACTAATTTGTTGTCCTTTGCTTACTTCTAAAATGGGGGAACTTCCTGTGGGAACCAGTACTTGAGCTGGTGTGGTTGAGCTAAATTGCTGCTTTGCTGCTGTTTCCCTAGGGAAGGCTTTTTATGCAGCTCAGAGTTTAACGTTTGGCCTTATGGGTACTTCCAGCTCTCCAGAGACCCGGTGGATCTGGATTGTGTAGTGACTCTGATCTGGGCCTGAGTTTTTTAGTCAAACTGCACCACAGGCAATTCTACATTCCCGACCAGTCTCCACTAAGTGGTCCTGCACTGATTAGGTGGTGGGTCAGCTGTCCTTGCTGTGTCCCAGTGTTCTCCCAGTGGGCCTGTCTCCCCCACCACCCATGCTTCAAACACTTCCCATGGGACGGGCCCTGCGCTGGTCCCTTGTGATGACTCACTGGCCTCTGAATGGCTCCCCTTTTCAGCTCTTCTGGCTCCTCGCTCCTGCGTGGGTCCACGGGAACCCTATTAGTGGCCTTGCTGTCCTGGGGGCCGCCAAGGCCCTCTTCTACCCCACTGCCTCCACGTAACTCCATCTGAAGGGCACAGCTGTGGCTTCTGCCGGTTCCTGCTCCATGGGCTCGTCAGCTCCAGCTTTAAAGTGGACATAGCCTGAAACCCTTAGAGCAGTTTTTTCTTTCTCTCATTGTGGTTTCTCCAACCTTCATGAACTCTGTGGGTCTCTCCTCCTCTTCCCTTGAGCTCTAGTGGCCCCAGCTTGTCTGATGTTACATTTTTATGGCTGTAAATGTGTTGATTTGTGGGAGAGAGTGATGCTGAGGACTGTCTATTCCACCATCTTGACCGGAACTACTCAACAACAAGTAAATTTTACTTTAACTCAGACCTTAGAGTCAATAGCTCAGAATCTGGCCCATATTACAGAGCTAATTGGCTTTATTACTTTGGGCAAGCCACTTAACATTTTTTTAAATCTATAATAGAAAGAGGTTTGGATTAATTCGTCACTGAGGTATGCTCTTGTTATATTAGTAAATTTGTTAATCATAAAGAATGTAAACATTCAGAATTTTTAAAATCTTCTATATAAAAATCACTTAAAAGACTTAATTTCAGAAAAACTTTTAAGAAGTATCATTTTGGAATAAAAAAAAAATATTTGTCCATGTGTCTGAGAATGTAAAATGGAATTACAAGAATTAAGATTGAAGCCAAAGCCTCAAAACTAAACAATTAATTGAAAATCAGTTCAAGAAAGCCATTTGCTGTTCAAATTTTATGTGTAACAGAACCATTTACTCATTACTTGCTCAAGATTTAAATTTTCAGCAGTCAGCTACCTATCATATTTTTAAATCCTTATCTTAATAATTTATAATCAAGTATAATCACCTAAAAATTTTATTGAAGTCAATAATTTGAGGCAGTACTACATAGTTCTTATATTTGTTTCATGGGAAATTCTTTTTTTTTTTTTTTTTACCTTTTAGCAATTTCCTGCTTGCTCTTTTATAAAACCCTGCAATAATTACATTGTTTGAGATCTTTTATTAATATAGGTATGTCCTTTTCTCCTTTTTGGTAGCATCTTATATGAACAAGCCTCACAATGCTAATGAGTACCATAATGTTCAGTCTATGGACAATGTATGTTGGCCAGCTCCTGGCCAGATCCCACCTGTGTCCACACCAGTAACTGAACTTTCTCGAATTTGTTCCTTTGTTGGAATGCCACAACCGGATTTCTCCTTTCTTAGGACACCACAGGTATAGTATACTACTGTTCTATGTCTATAAGTTCTTTAACACTGTTTTAAGAAATTGAAAATCTTTAGCTAGAAAAAATATAATGGAGCTGATTTTTGTTTTTAACTTTATGAGCAGCATGAATTTATGTTCTCACTCTGTTAATTCCATTTATACATAGCCAGAGCCCTCAAAGAGGCTGATAGAGAGGAACCTGGGCAACAGGTAGCCAGACAAGATTCTATAGACTGGTGGAGCTAGGGATCATGGTCTACAATGGAGGTTTTCAAACTTTTTGGTCTCAGAATCTCCCCCCCATTTTTGGAGGACACAAAAAACTTTTGTTTACTTGTGTTATATCCATATTTACCATATTAGAAATGAAACTGAAAAAAACATTAAGTGTTTATTAGTTCATTGTTTATTAAAAATTTAGTGAGAAGAGTGGTATTGCTGTACATTTTTAAAATTGTTTTACCTCTAGCTTAATAGAAGAAGTGAAATTCTCATATATGCTTCTTACTATCAATCTCTTATGATATGTTGTTTTGATAGAAATATATGGTCTCACACAGATACATAGTTGGAAAAAGGAAGAGAACTTTAATACCTTTTCAGATCGTTGTAGCTATTCAAAAGTGGTACTTTCTTAAAGGTTTGCTACAGTGTGGAATCTGAAACCATATCAATGAACTTTTTGTCCTCTATATACTTGTGAGAAAATGAGAAAAAGGGCAAATAGCATCTTAATATTATTATGAAAATAGTTTTGACCTCAGTGACCCCCTGAACGGGTCTCAGGTTCCCCAGACTGCACTTTGAGACTTGCTGGTTACAAGAAGTTTATTTTATCCTCTTTGCATCCAAGTTCTTGACACAGTCTCACCTAAAACAGAAAACAGTTTCTTCTAAGATCAGGAACAAGACAGGGATGCCCACTTTTACCTCTTCTATTCAACTTAGTACTGGAAGGTCAGCAAGAGCAATTAGGCCCAAAAAAAAAGAAAGAAAGAAAAGACATCTAAATTAGAAAGGAAGAAGTAAGTTTGTCTCTGTTTGCAGATTATATGGTCTTATATGTAGAAAACCTTGAAGATTCCACCAAAAAAAACTATTAGAACTAATAAACATATTCAGCAAAGTTGCAGGATACAAAATCAACACACAAAAATCATTTGCACTTCCATATACTAACAGTGGACAATCTGAAAAGGAAATTAAGAAAACCATTTATGATTAACATAAAAAAGAATGAAATACTTAGGAATAAACTTAACAAAGAAGCCAAAAGACTTGTATACTAAAAACTACAAAATGTGGTTTGCTAAAAGAAATTAAAGAAGACAAATAAATAGAAAGACATCTTGTGTTCATGGATTGGAAGACTTAATATTGTTAAGATGTCCAAGGTGAAGGGTTTGGATCCTCTTACCAGCCAGCTGCCAAAAAATATATATCTACATATCTATATATACTATATATATGTATAGTTAAGATATCAACACTACCCAAAGTGATTTACAGATTCAGTGTAATCCCCATCAGAATCCCAGTGTAATAGAATAGCCCCAAAATAAACCTCATATATATAGTTAAATGATTTTTTGACAAGATGCCAAGACCTTTCAATGGGGAAAGGGCAGTCTTTTCAGCAAATGGTGCTGGGAAAACTGGATATCCATCTGTAAAAGAATGAAGTTGGATCCTTAACACCATATACAAAAATTAACTGAAAATGAATCAGAGACCTAAGTTTAAGACCCACAGCTGTAAAACTCTCAGAAGAAAACACAGGGCAAAATCTTCACAACACTGGATTTGACAGTGACATGGATTTCTTGGATATGACACCAAATGCACAGGCAACAGAAGAAAAAATAGGCAAATTGGACTTCATGAGAATTTTAAAGTTTTGTGCATCTAAAGATAATAGCAATAGAATAAAAAAAGACAACCCCTAGAATGGGGGAAAATACTTGTTAATGATATATCTGATAAAGGGTTAATATTCTAAATAAATAGAGAACTCCTAAAACTCAACAACAAAAAAACAACTCAATTCAAAAATGGGCAAAGGACTTGAATAGACATTTCTCCAAAGAAAATATACAAAAGGGCAATAAGCACACGAAAAGATGCTCAACATCACTAATCATTAGGGAAATACAAATCAAAACCACAGTGAAATACCACCTCACACCCATTAGGATGGCTACTATCAAAAAAACCCAGAAAATAACAAGTGTATGAGAGAGGGATGTAGAGAAGTTAGAATCCTTATGCACTGTTCATGGGAATGTAAAATAGTATAGCCACTGTGAAAAACAGTATAGTGGTTCTTCAAAAAATCAAAAATAAGATTACAATATGATCCAGTAATTCCACTTCTTGGTATATGCCCCAGATAATTCAAAACATGTATACCCATGTTCATAGCAGCATTATTCACAATAGCTAAAATGCAGGAATGTCTGTCAAAGGATTAATGAATAAGCAAAATGTGGTATATCCAAACAATGGAATATTATTCAGCATAAAAAGGAAGGAAATTCTGACATATGCTACAACATGGATGAACCCTGAAGGCATTATGCTAAGTGAAATAAGCTAGTCACAAAAAGACAAACACTGTGTGATTCCTCTTATTTGAGGTACTTAGATTAGTCAAAAATCACAGAGATGGACAGTAGAATAGTGGTTGCTGGAAAGATGGCAAGTGAACAACCTAATACTTCACCTTAAAGAACTAGAAAAACAAGAACAATCCAAACCCAAAGTTAGCAGACGGAAAGAAATCATTAAGATCAGAGCAGAACTTAATGAAATTGAAACCCAAAAAACGTTACAAAAAACGATAAAAAAAACAATGAATCAAAAAGTTGGTTTTTTGAAAAGATAAATAAAATTGACAAACCATTAGCACAGCTAACTAAAAAAAGAAGAGAGAAGACCCAAATAACAAAAATTAGAAATGAAAAAGGTGATATTACAACTGATACCTCTGAAATACAAGCAATCATTAGAGACTATTATAAACAACTATATACCAACAAATTTGAGAATGTGGAAGAAATGGATAAATTTCTGGACACACACAAACTACCAAAACTGAGCCAAGAAGATGTAGAAAATCTGAAGAGACCAATAACAATAAAAGAGATTGAAGCTGTTATCAGAAGGCTCACAACAAAGAAAAGTCCAGGACCAAATGGATTCACAGCAGAATTCTACCAAACATTCAAAGAGGAATTGACAACAATTCTCTACAA